AGCTGGGTTTGATCTCGTTGAGATTAATGTGGACGAGAAACTCTCTTAATGTTACAGTCTTCTAACATCTCAGATCCCCGAGTTATGAATTTAGGCGGGAAAAATTTTGGCGGGCCCATACGCGGGTACTACGCTTACCCGAGGGTTGGGTTTGAGCTCATTAGCATCTACCAGGAGGGGAACATTCCCTTAAAATTTCAATTTTCTAGCATCTCGGATCCTCGAGTTATGAATTTACGCGGGAAAAATTTCGGCGGACTCGTACGTGGGTACCACGTTTACCCGAGGGATGGGTTTGAGCTCATTAGTACCTACTTGGACGGGGAACATCACCATAAAATTTCAGCTCCCTAGCTTTTCTGGTTCGCGAGTTAGCAGCTTACCCGTAAAAAACTTCGGCGGGCTCTTACGTGGGTACCACGTGGGGAAGACCGCCCATTTTGGGGATTGGAGCCCGTACGTGTATGTAGGTTAAGTCCCCAAAGTTTCAGCCCCGTAGCTTTTGTGGGTTTCGAGATGAAAAATTGGTGCAGACGCGCAGCGCACACGCAGACACACACGCACACAGACAACCTCTCGTCAATATGCGTTTTTCGCATTGCATAGCTGCAAAAAACGAATAATAAAGGAAAGAGGTAGTGAGGTTCTGGAAAGCCGCAGTTCCCCAGAACAGAGTTGAATAAGAGCGACTGTCTGGATCCCGGAGATGGGGAGGGTTGCTTTTATTCACAGAGGTGAGCGATCACTAAGTTCACAAAACTTAAACAGGGGTAGGGTGTCCAAAGATTGAATCGGGGACCAGGGTATTACAACATAGTAACGCAATTTCTAACAAAAACCAGAAATCATTATGTGACATATTATGTGATATATGTGAGCCCGATGGAAATACCAAGACTGCGCTATCATTCCCATGTTAGTGCTGTTACTGGAACGTTGCAACAGAGCTATTTACTATATGTGCGCCGACTTTTCTTGAGTAACTGAAGTTGTTTTTAAAAAAAAGCATACGAATATTCATGGTAATTTCATGTTTTCTAGCTAATTCGACAAGGAGGAGCATTGCGAAATATTGTCCTAAAAAAATTCCATCAACCAAATGCGCAGTTGTCAACAAGAACAGTGAATGTTTTAAAAGGATTAATTGAATTTATACTGAACGAACTGCACACACATCACCAAACATATTTCACAGCGACAGAATTGCTCAACAAACTGGCTGCTGTAAACGAAATTTTGGCTAATTACCAACAAAATGCTAAGGTATTTTTTAACGGAAATTTTCATGCTATCAGTAATATAGTCACTTTTCGACCAGGGTTGATGGAATCATCCCTTCCTTTAATCAAATTGGCTTTTCTGGAAAAATCGGCAGATCTTTTGATGAAGAACAGTTACTGTTACGAAGTGCCAGTGCCTCTCTAATTTCGCATATCCAGTTTTCTTGTTTAGGATCTTTTCTACCCGAGTTTGCTCGCATTACATGTCGGCATTCCAGCACGTATAATCCGCACCCCTGAACTCCCTACTTCCCAGTGCTTTAAAATAGAGTACGAATGGAGCTTTCCAAGTGAAAAGTTGGAATGTTTCTAGCAATAGCATTGAACTCTTCAGATCCGGTGGGTACGAAATTTGAAAATTTTTTGCCATTCAGTCCAGTGTTTAACTCAGTGCATACCCTATTAAAGGGAAGGAGTCGAAGATTGTTTTGCCGTTTAAGAATTGCGCTAGGAAGAAGCTGGATATTTCAGTAGATTTTGTATTTTCAACTTTTTTATAGATACAGGTTGGAGAAAAAACCCACGCATATTGTGGTCAGCAGTGGCTCCATCAATTGCAGTCCGCAAAATATTCGGTTTTACGGTTTTGTTCAATTGTGAAATTTATGAAAACGAAGCTGGAAAATGCTCCAGATGATGACGAATGTGCTAGTAGCTTCTTCGAGGTCAGTTTTTTGCTTGGAAGAGCCTTTATAAAGGCCAGATTAGTTTAAATAGAAGTCGTTTGTTTTAGTTGCGTTTTTTTGACGTGAATGGGCGAGGGAAGGGAGCTATTATTTATTATGCTTTTTTTCCACATGACATTATACTACTACTACTATTCGCTAGTCATACGGCAGTGATCCGTGCGTTGCTAAATTTTCGAGCTTAATGCAGCGCTAGGTTGAACAAACATTTTCAATATTGTCTCTTTTGCCCCCAATCAACCATGCACTACAAATTAGAAGGTAAGAAGTTTTTGTCGAAAATGGCGAATTAGTAGAAAAAAATTCATATGAATGGTAGAGCGAAACTGCAAAACTCACTGCAAGTTTAGAAAGGTATTCGCGAGGGTCGTCAGTAACTCCTGAAGCCGAACTGAAGCCGAATCACAGGCAAAGTACACCATCGTGAATTCTCCTCTCCTCCTTCTTCCTTTCTCGCAAACCCCCTCAACTTCGTGGCGGAGACTGCCAGATCATGCCTTCCACCGTGCTTTGGCCCCCTCTGTCAGCTATTGCTGCTATACTACAAAAGATTCACCCAACCTCATGTTTTTCTTAGTCAAAGCTGAACGTAGAAAAAAGATGTGGATTGTTATGGAACAATCATTAGTTTATTTTTTTTAGGCCAATGAAATCAGCTCTTTTCCGGATACTGTGTTATCGAAGTTACATCAACAGCATCCTGAATATATTTTATTCAAGCGTTCGCTAATAAGTATACAGGAAGCTGCAGAAAGAGTGCTAGGAGTTATCCATTCGGAGCTATCACACTTCTCTGGATTTCAGCCTGCCGCCATTTGGAAAATGTAAGCCTTTTTTAAAAATCAGATAATTCACGTAACTTCTGCTAAGCTGGTTGTAGCGCTGGAATGTTTTTGACCACTCCATCTTCTGATCGATACTCCCAGGTCGAAATTCATGCCAGATATTGCAGTTTCAGGGTGGAACAAATTCTGAAGTCAGAAATTTCTGATTTAATCTGTGAATAACGACACAGCGACATACCAACGCTTCTTTTTTATCAGCTTTCGTTGCTTTTTTTCAGTGTTTTCTGTTTCTAGTACTTGCTAAATATTTTTTATATGATATGTAGTATGAAAAAGTTGTGGCACTGATAGATAAAGCTGCGGTGAATAGCCCAGTCTCAGAATTTTGTATCAACGATCCGAATGAAAGCAGTGGTCTGGCACCAAAAGCTATAACTCTGCAAACGTTAATTTTAGTTGAGGGAACGCGTTTCGGATTTTTATGCGTTTTGTGCAGTGTAACAGCAGTACAAAACGCATACTGTTACGGGGTTGTCTGTGTGTGTGTTTGTGTGTGTGTGTGTGTTCGCAGCAACTTGTCCGCACTTTCAACTCGGGAACTACAAAAACTAGGAAACTGAAATTTTAGAGTATTGACCCTCTGCCCACGCTCAACCTTGCCCATTCAAATTCAGCCTTCCCTTACCCGCGAGTAACATGTGCGGCCCCGTGGAAATTTTTTACGCGTAAGTTAATATCTCGGGAACCACGGAGTTTAGGGGGCTGAAATTTTAGGGGAATGACCCCCTGCCGCCGCTCAACCTTGTCCATTTAAATTCAGCGTTCTCGCCCTCTCGGGTACCACCCACAAAATTTTGGCAGGTAAACTAACTCGGGAATCACGGAAAAATATTCATCCTTCAAGGTTTCGAATTCAGCTTTCATGC